AGGATGGTCGAAACGTCGGCAACTCAGCCTTCGACGCGGCGTCACCCGGACAGCCCAGATCACCCAAGGTGGAAACCTACCTTCAACAGAAAAATTTTCACAATGGACTATTTTGCAATCCAAAATACACTGGATAAGCCAGAAACCTGCCTAACACAGAAAAAGAAAGGAATTTTTAGTATGACGGTATTAAAAATTCTGAATAAGACGTCAAAAAAATTGTTTTAAAATTAAATCGTGATTGTAAGTGCAGTGACATTGTATCAAGAGACTGTCTTTATATTATTCCACAAAAGCGGAATAACTATGCGGAAGAAATTGGTTTAGAATACAGGAAGAAGGAAATTGAGAGTATCTCTGAAGAAAATAATATTTCTATAAATTTTGGTAAAATAACTGCCAGGTCCATTCTTGGATATCCGGGATGAGCCGCGTCTCTGTCAATTGTACTGACATTTCGGCCATCTTGCTGTGGCCTTCTTAAGAGCTATACTGCTGGCATAGCAGAAGCGGAAGCCTACGAACCCATATAACTGCCAGGTGGCCACTAACAGTAGTTGTGGTGTACATTTCCAAGTAATGGAGGTTTGAGGAACTGTTCTCTTTAAACTTTTTTGTAAGCATAGAACAGAATGAATACACTGAATTCTACGGAAGAAGTGTCATTTTCATTAAAACTCATTTGAATATTAAAAAATTATAAAAATTTATTAATTTTTTTCAATTCTTCCTTACCTAATTTGGGGAAAATAGGTTTTCAAGAGATGGTTCATATATTTAATGGACGTGAGTTGTAATAATGTATTATGTAACCATTACAAACAATGTGAGAATGTATGTGTTGAGTGTGATCTGACCTCACACCAAGGTGATATGCATTCTACTCTTTTGGGGTGGTAGTTAAAAAATTGGTGTATGGTACCACACCCCTGGAGAACATGTGTAAAACAGTGATTAAGATTAGATGAGTAGAATAATTTTAAATAGTTCATGTTTTATTAATAGTTTGTGTCTTTACACATAAAGTGTTTTTCTGGCACCATTCATTACCTTGATTAAATGAAAAAGATGCCTTCCAACGAATATGTTCACCTGTGAAGAATTAATAATGGTGGGATGATTGACAGATTTTTTTATTTTTACTTTTTAATAAGTCATTCCTAAGTGACAGTTTAAATACACACATTTTATCCAGGCTTAGTCCACAAGCTCCTCCATAGCTGTATATAATGTTATTGTTTGGTTTAAAACAATGTGTTTTAATGAAAACTTGTAATTATTTGCAGAATATCTTGTTTTGGGTGACAGGATGGCTACTTGTTACAATTTCTTGGATTTTTCTTCACTGTACTGTAGCTGTTTCTTTACTGTTTGCTACTTCTCAAGCACTAGTTATTGTTGTGGTATCAGTGCTAGGAATATTTATTTTGGGTAAGTAAGATTTGTGTAATAAGTATGTTATAAAAATTAATATTTATAATACCCAGACTCAGAAGGCCCTATTATGTGTAAGACTCAGAAGCTGTCTAGGACTATTGGAGTTTTAGTTCATCTTTATTCTCCTAGTCAGGCCACCACAGATATGCATCTAATATTTACAAAGTGTTCTCAAACGACATGTCTCATGAGAAGAGGTGTGGATGAAATTCTCTTATGTGTAACGTTAATATATTCAGATTATGATTCATTCAATTTGATCTTCCGTCTCATCTAATAGTGAATTTCAACAAACCAGTAGCAGTAGAAGTCTGTAGTTTCTTTGACGAAAGTCAAACTACATCTCTAACTACTTGTTTTCCTTCATCTTCTAACTTTCTTGGACCACATCTTTTTTATTTCTATATACATGGTATTAAGAAAGTTACAATACTACTGTGAAAAACAGTGATTTTTCAGCAGCAAAATTCGTATTGTAGTTCCCTGATATTGAAAAAGTGGATAAATCTTGTTCTTATATGTAGTATATTACTTCTTCTAACACATTCTGTAGTCATAATCCATGACTGGTTGGTCCTTGGTATCAAAAAATTGGTTTATGGCAAAACATGTCCATCTGTCTGTGAACAATGCTAATGGATAACCATAAGTTGGATTTTCACCAAAATTGATATTCCCCAATTGATCTGGTTGATGTCATGGCCCATTGAATTTGAAACTAATTTTTGGGTGTAGTTTACATAAAGTCTGAAACCCATTTTAAAATTTTTTTCAAAAATGGCTGCAAGTTTTATTTATTAAACTTTGCCTTTGGTTAGCATTGAGTGTGCTTAAAAATATGGTGTATGGCTCAGTTTCATTGAAATATCTGAATTTTTAAAATTGTAAAAGTTAAAAAAAATTTCAGCATCATTATACAACTACACAATTGAAGATAAAGATTTAAGATAAAGATAAAGATTCCTCTGAATAAAATTAAATCTTTAAATTAGGACATCAACATTTTTTACAAAATATGAATAGTTTTTATGTAATGTTGAGCGAAATGTGGGCAATAGTCAAAAGTGTTGAAAACTAGATTTTCTCAACAAAGTCTCCAAATATACTCCTGAAACTTTTTGTGTGAATAGTGCTAAATGCACTGGATAAAATTACATAAATGCTATTTTGATGTACCATTTAGATTTTTCAAAAATTACACATGTGTAATTTTTTTATATATTACTCTTATTGTTAATATTTACATTTGGGTATTTGTTATACATTAATCAAATGTATTTGTGAGTACAAGTGCTTCAAATGATTTCTTATGAACTTTCTTGAAAACTCAAATCTCCTTTGGGAAAATGAACTCAAATTGCACCGTTTTAGAAATGCATGAAACATTTTTTTTAAAGTGACTCAAATTTCTTTCTTAAAACTTTTTGTATGAATAGTTTTAATACACTGAATTACAATGTTTATGCCTTTTTTATGTATGCCTTTCCGATGTATTATTTTGATTTTCCAAAATACCCAAAAGTAATATTTTTGAAATACAATATTTTTTCAAAAAATTTGGAGGTATTTTGAGAAAATTTTCTGGGCTTCATGTAAAATACTCCTGTATTAAAGAAATTATCCTCAAAATTTTCCTCAAAAAAATCTTACGTATGGTTTAGGCGCTAGTAGTGTTCACAGATGAATGAACATGTGAATGAATATTGAAATAAACTACGATTTTGGTATCAACGACTCATTATTTCTGAAACCTGACTATAATTATAATAA